AAAGATGATGTATCAGAGGAATAGAATCGAAAAAAATGAAACCAGGGAGAATTCATTACCTAAATTGCCCTAGTAACAGAAATACAATTTTACAACAGAAGTCATCCATTACTTGATTACGGTACTTCGATACTTTTTTCGTTCTGGAGATAGATATTTTCATTCCGAAACGCAATAAAACTAATCAAATTTCGCTGAAATATAACTATCGAATCTCACGTCCATCTTTTATGACGCACAGAAAACATTTTTCGTACACAAGGAAGTCTGATTTTTCAACGAGGAGCAGAAAAAAAATTGTCGAACAAAGAAAAATGCCTCGAAGTCGTCGACACGGAGAGGACGTGACAACAACGTCGTCACGCGTCAACGATTACGACTCCCTTTTCTAGCGCCTGTTTCTTCATTATTTGCCTAAAAAAAAATTGTCGAACAAAGAAAAATGCCTCGAAGTCGTCGACACGGAGAGGACGTGACAACAACGTCGTCACGCGTCAACGATTACGACTCCCTTTTCTAGCGCCTGTTTCTTCATTATTTGCCTTCGAATTGCTCTGGTACAAGTACCAGCTAACGGCTTACTAGAAGGAAATATTGAGAGTCAACAAGGGAAATGTATCTACGATATCTTCATCGATCTCCAGGAATATGGGCACAGCACATTATTTGTTTTCCACCGGAAGTTTGAAATTTCTAAAGAATTATAAAAATCAAAGCACAACTCGAGCTGGCCTTGTCTTACTGACACATGCTGTCTAGACGGTTTTTTGGTATTAACGTACTGGCTTTCCTGACGACTGTTTAAATAGTTCACGACATTTAGCTTTATCCATAGGGGCATTATGTAAATTGAATAGATAGTAGTATATTTTTATTCGGCAATAATTTCCCGAATTTCAGCCACGCAAGGTCTCTAAAACAGTATGATATCAAGAAATTTTAAATTTTAGCATATCTCCCAGAAAAGGGGGAACACAAAAGTAACAAAAACTGCGCACGAACCTTAAGGGTTCTTCGACCGCTTTCAATGGTGGGTTGACCCTTCCGAATTCACATCAGGTGGCTTGTTAAGTAATTTTGAACTGCGGTGCATTAAGAAACGAGTTTTCTAAAATAGCAACATCAACTTTCTACAGAGTGAACTCATTACCTGAAGGAAATGGTGGGCTTCCGAAGGCAATCCGGAGTTTACTCAACATAATTGTAAGGTACAGTATAGTACTTGAACGAAGGATATCCGCCAATAAACCACTTGAGCCATTCTCACGAACACTTGAAGGGATTCTTTCGGAAAAAAAAAATGGAAAATACGGCAGTATTTTCCTCAGGTTATTGGCTATTTCCTGTTCAAACTCGGGAGCGATTCGGGTTGAAGAAGGTGAACAAGAAACAGGCACATAAATTATGCAATGTGTATGCATTGAATCAAGTTTCAAGCTGTTACACTTTTTCCCGAATTTTCGATAAAAGGTAAAACTATACAGTATTTAAGTTTATACAACTTTACACATGAAGACTGTCGAACAGCTTTTTACCCAATCAACATACTGTAGTAAGAGCATTAGAATATAAGCTCAGGAGAAAGAAATGAACGAATTTATGTTTCTAATATTTTGCAGAGTTTCACAAAATGAACTTGATTCCTCGGACTCAATCAAGAATAAGGAACATGTTAGATGGTGAGGCTCGAGATGCCCCAAAACGCGAACAATCCAACGCATAAAATCGCCTCAACGCACATTTAACAAATTTCTCACTCGATATCAAATTAGGAAAACGACATTGAAACGAATGATGTAATTCACATTGCGCAAAAATGCCATATTCACACTTGAAAAAGTCTCAATTTTCAGTTCACACGAACAGTATTTTCATTTAATTATGTCATAAATCGTGAAATTCGCTTGAATTCTTTCTGCCTAGCATGGTGCAGAGGTTCTCTTTGGGCAATAGCGACATGACATGACGGTCTCTTGGGTCGGCTCGTGCTGTTCGTAGCGTGGTGTACACGCTCGTTTCCCGTGGGATGACAACCATACCAGGCACTGATAAGTCGCCCGAACCCCGTTAATAAAGAAAACCGCTGAATGGCTCTTTTTTGTTTTGAGTGCCGAATTATACGTTCATTAATCTTTCGAAGCTCTTATTCAGCTTTTTTTTTTAAACTTTCCCTACCCTTCTTATCCATTAATTGAGACCAGACGATGACAATTAGGCATAGGTTAAAAGTGCGGAGCATGGAAATTGCGGAAATTTTTGATTACTGTACTCTTCCGGCTGGAGATGATACAGTACGAATTTTCCGGATCCTGAACTCATTTCAAACTTTCAACAAGTCATTGGATTTAATTCATCGTACTGTGGTACTTCAACGACGATCCATGATTCGATGTCATTCGGTCTTTCGAATACGACTGCCTCAATTATAATTGAAAAGGAAACAATGAACATAATACTTGGTAGGAATGTTTGGCGTCTCGAATTACGTGGACATTAAAAAAAGAATTATGAAAAGAGATGCAATGTTTATGATATTCTTGAATGATCATATCATTAGAATTTTTTCAGCTTAAATCGCATTACTGTAGTGCGTATTTTCGCGTTCGAAAGATGCACGGAATTCGAAATTTTAACTTCATTCATAATGAGTGGTATTGCGTTATTTAATCGTTATAACTGCCCTTTGTTGCAAGTTTTTAGTTAGTGAACTTACGTTCCGTTTTTCAACTGGTCATTAGTTGACAACGGATATATTCGTAGTAAATAAGTTTTATAGCAGACATAGGTCGTAATATCTCGCCTTCCACTAACACAGGAGCTCACAGTAACAGGTGCCATCAGTTAGGCATGTCTCATATACAGTACAGTAGTTCAAAACCTGGACAAAGGGTTGGGATAAAATATTCGGAAGGCGATCATTTCCCCGCAGTACAAACCCAAACATTTCTGTAAGACGCTTGCAAGGAACAAAACGTCGAAGAAAAGAAAACGGTGCCACACCCCGACGACCTTTGAGAATGCAGTATAATTGAAGAAAACAGAGGCCGGATAAGTCCAGAGCAGCGTTGGACAGAACAACCGAGTCCTCAACATTTATCCCTCTCCCGTCCTTGAACCCCGCGATATGCTCCCAATTAAGGCCTAACTTGAGCTCACCGGAGCCGAAGGGAACGGAAGAAAGACAGAAACTCGGAAAATTAGCAATATTGACGGGAAACAACGTTCAAAAATCAATCACTTGAATGCAAGGCAAAAAGTTGACCAGTAATCAACTGTTGCCTATATAAGCATCATTTATTCAAAATATCGTCTGTATCCAGCGAATATCTCGCCTTCCACTAACACAGGAGCTCACAGTAACAGGTACCATTAGTTAGGCATGTCTCATACACAGTAGTTCAAAACCTGGACAAAGGGCTGGGATAAAATATTCAGAAGGTGATCATTTCCCTGCAGTACAAACCCAAACATTTCTGTAAGACGCTTGCAAAGAACAAAACGTCGAAGAAAAGAAAACGGTGCCACACCCTGACGACCTTTGAGAATGCAGTATAATTGAAGAAAACAGAGGCCGGATAAGTCCAGAGCAGCGCTGGACAGAACAACCGAGTCCTCAACATTTATCCCTCTCCCGTCCTTGAACCCCGCGATATGCTCCCAATTAAGGCCTAACTTGAGCTCACCGGAGCCGAAGGGAACGGAAGAAAGACAGAAACTCGGATGGACAGAACAACCGAGTCCTCAACATTTATCCCTCTCCCGTCCTTGAACCCCGCGATATGCTCCCAATTAAGGCCTAACTTGAGCTCACCGGAGCCGAAGGGAACGGAAGAAAGACAGAAACTCGGGCAAAGTGCGCAGTATTTTTTGGAGACAGAGACGTGCTTGGTGCCGAGCGTGCCTCATCAGCACCGTGATGCAGCAAGAAATTTCGGGCAACTAAAGAAGGGGTTCCCTGCCGCGATTTCACATTAGGGGAAGTTTATCAAGAATGGAATAACTAGCCGTGGAATATGAATGGAACGTGTCTCAATGCGACTGGCACACCCAGTCTAAAGAGGCATCGTACTTTAAACCCCGATACGAAACGAAAAACGTACACGAACTGGTTAAAATTCGAGAAGAGTATACTATACCATAGTTGATGAAAGCATTCATCTGGAAATACCATCCACCAAAGGGATCGCTTAAACTTTAAATCATTTGAAAATTACTCCAAAGCCTGTGAACGACATCATCAATTCTAAGACGCACGATTTGAGCCTGTGAATTCTAGTCATGCTTTTGTTACGAAGTTGAGCTTCCTCCAACACCATCGACAGAAACTAGAATGCTATCTCCTGACCTGTTGAACTGAATAACGAAGGAAGAACTTTACTTAAGTAAAGATGAGGTGTTTACTCAGTTGATTTTTCCAAGACTTGTACTTAGAAAAAAAGGTTTTCAAGCAAAACTTTCTGGAAAGTCAACGCATCGAAGTAGGTTCGTGCATTTTGTGAATCAGCGAAGTTCACGGAAGAGAAAGCGTTAAAATACGATTTCAACATTGTAAAACTCAAAATCGTGCACCCTTATACTTTCGTTACGATCTTTCTACGTTCCAGGATAACTCTCGAAATTGCCTCTGAAGGATAATGAATCGGGAAAACTTGATATAAAAGATGGACTTTTTCAAATTTCAAGATTAATTGCTCCGCTTAAAACGATAACGATCTAAAATTCGGTAACAGACTATACTTGTCATACGGTACTCAGGTCCGAATGATTCCTCAAGTTGTGTATAATTTTCGCGTTAAATCAGCAGGTTAGAGAAACTAAATAGAAAGGAGATCTAGAAAATTCGCTTTAAAAAAATAATGCGCTTCAACACGGAGGAACCTCGTACAGTACTGTAGTTAAAGAACCTCGTACTGCAGTGATTAAAGCCGGTGCTGTGAGCAAAACAGCTCGTTAAACCCAATAATAATACCCCCCCCCCCCCCGGCAGTCGCTATGCGCAGTTATGCTTTCTCGGTGAGGGATCTTTCTTCAAATTAGTATAAAAAAATTTACTCACTGGTGGAGATTTGCAGCAGAGAACAGGTCCCTTCGAATTCGGTCCTCATGTGATGCATCAAATTGGAGAAAATCGGCTCCAGGTCTGCGTCGTCGTATTGCGCAGATTCCGGTGACGTTGTCGACTGCATCATGGTGTCCACGTCGAAAAAGTCTACTTGCGTTTCCGCAGCCTGTCGAACAATAGGATTCCGAATTTTTCATCCGAAGAATTTAAGAAATAGAATCCGCGCAACAACGGATACAGTTGGACGGTCTTAGACCGACCAATGAATAATTTGTTGAAAATTATTCAAGCCAGAGGTAGATCAGCTTATTTACTGAATGATAATTCACTCGGACCAGATTAAAATCGCGAAAACTGATTCCAAAAAAATTCAGCTCCACTTCTTCCATACGTCGTGGAGTCTTAGTGGTACTTTCACATTTAACGACCTAACCATGATTTGAGGGTGACATCATTTCTCTTTGATGCCACTCAAGGATTCTCCTCTACAGTACTTTTGAGGCGACAAAAATTCAGCTTATGAGAAAAAACGAAATTCACTTGACCCAAGTTGAAAGTAGATTGATACTTCTCAGGCTGAAGAACTATGGATTCACAAAAATCAATTAAAATACAGAAAAAATACCTCTTCCCGAATCAAAATCGGAATTGCGTTTCATATTGCTTAATGGAACTACTGTACTTTATTCGTCCTCGTCACGCTCTTGAAGAATACAGTATAAGTCACCAGAAGAAGCTACCGCCTGCTGGTGATTTTTCTTGAAAGCATAATGAAAACTCACCGATAGCCTCAGAAAAAAATACCTGACGGGAAAAAACACTGACATGTCTGAATTGAGAAAAAAGGAAATTCCCTTTGACAAACAAGCATCACTGACAGCCACAGAAGGAAGAAAACAGTACTGAATCTTGAAATGTGGAAGAGATAAAATCTATCTCTGCGCTAATATAAGAGCTGAATTTCGAATAGATTACAAAGAATTGTGTCCATCATAAGAAAAGTACGTTAATTAGTGGAAGCAGATGCAAAAAATTTAAGAATAGAACAGAACCTCCGGAATTCGACAGGGAAAAAGTGACTAGAAAAAATGAGGGTCACTTTCTATTCATTTTTCACCAGGATCAAATTAAAAACTACATGAATTTTGTGCTAGAAAATGTCCTAAAGAAATGCGACAATATAAAGTATTGAGAAGTGAAGAGTGGAATTGCCATTCAAATGGTCTCGAAGTTTTGGGCACCAAGCTGAGAATTGGTTCTGTTAGAAGAAGATATTCAAAGAAATAAAAATTGAAAGGGATTTGACTTTCTGCAATCCAGAACTTCCGAACAGACTAATTTTATTGTCTTCAGAACACTGATCAGGACTTAATTCCTGTCTGAAGTGAGCGGATTACGTTCCGATGAACCTGGTTGTATTTTTACAGCTGTGGAGCGCTCTGTATACTGTACTGTAATAAACTCTGCTCACAGCACAGAAATGTGTTAAAACAATACATACAGTACAACCAAAAGATCGCCAGCTATCCCAGCAGAGGATTACGTAATTCATTCCGTTGAATTCTCGAGATTAAAATTTTCAGAATAAAGTGTCAGAAGTGATAATCTTACCTGTTGGCCGAAGTCCGCGGGCGACGAGACTCCGCTTTCGATCTTCACGTCCGAATAATCCGTAGACAACAGCAACGCCTTCTCGAACTCCTGCCGTTCGTCAGCAAAGCTCGAACCGTCACTCAGGAACTTACGCAGCAGAAAGTGTTGGTTCGGCTCGTCGTTGATGCTCACATTGGCGCCGCAGCCGTTGCCGACTATTGTCTCGTTGCGCGTGATCTCCAACACCGTCGTCGGGATGAGCGGTGGCGGCGTTTGAGGCACCGTCTGTGGCGGACTGCCGAGTCCGAACCCGGCATCGGACATCATTCCGAAGTCGTTGACCTGCGGAAACTCGTTGATGTCATACGACAACTCGTCCGCCACCGGTATGTCGAAGTTGTCTTCGAAGCTCAGAATCGCTGGCAAAAACTGCTCCCTCGCCTCCTCAGTACCCTATTTGATAAAATAAAAACCCAAATTGGCTTCAAATATTTTCTCTTCATCGCCCGAAGCACTGGATTTCGGGGTTTTTTATGTGGAGGACACATAGGTGTCGCCTGAGTTCGGTCATACAGTATTTCGATGCAGTAGGTACGGTTACTCATTAAAATAAAAAATGTCGAATGGCCAACGAATTGAACGCAGCAAGAGCCTATAGCTCTTCTTGAATCATCGCTTGACGTCGGTGGCTTGTTGTTGAATCTCATCGCGGCCGGGTAGTTTTTTCTCCTATGATTTGTCAAGTTAACATGGGGTAGGTCATGGTATTCCTAACTTTTTGTGCATTGCAAGCATAACACAGAAATCAAGACACATAGAAATCAACGTTGCGCGTGGAAGTTGAAAGAAAATTGTCTGAAATTTTCGACTCCGGAATTTCCTTCGATGCTATAAATCTTTCGCCTGTAGAAAAATTGTAGAATACCGTTATTTTCTCAGTTACGATATTCAAAGTTAGGTACAGGTAGCCTTGGCAAATTCGTTTAGAAGCACCACAGTACTTCAGAAAACTCAAACCTATCCGCGCCTTATACTCCAGTGTACGTTGAAGTAAAACAAATATTGCTTCAATTTTCGGGATTTTGTTTCAACATTCCAGATATCAAAATTCTCAAAACCTCGTGCCCCTCATTCAATATATTCTTCGCAATTGATCTTCCATTTGTGGGAAACCCCCATATCACATTAAAAGCTACAGTATTTTTAAATTTCGACAAGTGTGCCCAACTAGCTCCTCACGCTTAAAATCAACAGATATCATGCAAAAAACTTAATAAAAAGTTTTAGTTACAAGAACGTTGTTACATGTTATGACATAAAGCATGGAAGACTATAGCGGCTACGTTATCAACGAAGACTAAAAGACTTGTTACTACAAGAGTCGCGTATCTCTTAATTTTTTCGAGTACTGTACAGCTAGGAGATTCCATCCGTGAATAAAATGACTCATACCATAAAAGACATCCATGTACCTCAGTACAATCAAATATCACTTCGACGAGTCTCACGAATCAGAAATTTCGATAGAACAGTGAAACATTGTTTTTTTCTCATGCGTTCTTGTGAACATAACATGCATACTATACCACCATGCAAATTACAGTAATCCAATCGAAAAATTACGCTCTTAGCCACAAAATGGATGATGAAATAAAGTTTGCTGACCTCAAGCTTTTGTTACAACTGAAACTACTGTACAGTACACAAAAGCATTTATGTTTCGTTCGTGCATTCGAACACACATACAGACTTAATGCTGATGTTTTCCAAATCGATGTCCGTAGCTTAAGAACTTTACATGATGGTTACTCGAGATGAAAATAGTTTTACGAAAATAATTAAAGGTACTGTGCGAAGAAATGAGCTCATCTTGCTCACAAAATCACCCAACGGATCATCGCGGGCGCAAGGAGTGGAAACAAGAGTATAACTCACCTGGTTTTTAGCACAGATGGGCGAAGGGATTAGATCGTCATTCGAAGCAAAGGCAGCGAGGAGGCCATCTTGAAGTCCCATCGAAGCACGGTAGTCAGGAGGACTATCATCACTGAACCTCGAGTCGATGTCGGACGTGAACCCGAAGTCAAGTTGGTTCAGTTCGTCCATGGGATCCACAAAGCTCAGCACAGAAACGGGTTGCATATTCGTCGACGGCGGAAACGACACTTGCGACACGCTTCTCTACAACAATCCAACGCCGCCAGGGAAAAGAATAAAGAAACACCGACGTTATTATCAAGTGCAACAGATTCTCGAAATGTCTTTGAAGAAGCGGCGTGAGTATAAAAAAAGAACACTCAGTTCAAAAAGCAAGCAAAGATTTGTAAAAATTCGATCGAAAATGTGGCTCTTTTAAAATACTGTACTATATTCCTCTTTCAGATATATAGTTCAGCAGGTGTATTACGAATAAACTTTCACACACCACGCGTCAGAGATGCTATGCATAAGATGATGGATATTGGTTTTCCTGCCTTTACGTGGTAATTTTTGTAACTTGTTCGTTTAGTCGCTCAGATAACTTGTCCGAATCAATTCTAATTCGTCGATTTAAAGGTTCATTTCATTCCAATTATATCTGACAATTCTGTACACGAATAAAAAGAAAACGCGTCAAAAGCGCCGAACTTTGTTTCCCCTTCATCAGACACTTGTTTGGGGGATGATTTTCTCCTGTCACAATGAAAGAGCTTCTCGAAATGACGCAGACACGGTCTTTGACCACACGAATGGGGTTCTATGCGCCCGAGCAAACGCGCGGCAGTTCAGAGTGAATTCATATACACGAACCGGGCTCCTCCTTTTGAATAATGCCCGTCGCACGGTAACAGTTTTAACGTATACACCGAGGGAGGAGAAAATGGATGCGAAAAACGCTCGCACGCGGAGACCGATACCGACGTCGTTCACTTCGGGGCGCAATCAAGAATTCCGATTTTTACTCCGTATCACATACTGATTTGTCTCGAATCAAGCTCATGAGATGATTTTGAAGGATTTCAAGTAAAAATGACGGGGAATCCCTCAAAAGTTTGTTTTAGGAGATGGTAAACTGAAGCATCGCCTTATTTCCTAACTAACAGGTATACCAGCAGTACTGTACTGTGCAGGTAATTCGCAAAATGTAGACCTATTACGATCAGGCACTCTCCTTTAAAAAATAATTACACAACTTTTTTTACATCAAAAATTATCTTATTAAATATGGTGGTCCTACTACGAGCATTGCGTTAAAGCAAGTGTACTGTATAGTACTTGTATTGTGCAATTTGCGCCATCAATTCGAAAGTCACTCCCGTCATTTTAGATTTCACGTCTTGAATTTTAATCGAATGCTGACATTTTTGGATTTATTACCCTTAGTGTACTGTACTTCATTCCCACAGCTCACGACTAAGATCCAGAAGTAAATACCGTACCCAACTATTGAAAATCTTATACATTTTGGGAATTGAAATTTTTTAGTGCGGTATTCCTGTACGTGCCCATTCAGATCGGTCTCTCAACAGACGAGGAAAAAAAGCTAAGAATACAGAGAGGAATACAATTCGGCAGATGACAGCAAAAATTCAGTGCCTCGTATGCGCATACAATATTCAACAGCGCAGTGCTGATGGATACTGATTCAAAAACATCACGCAGTAGCATTATTTCTGGGCGATTTCAAATACTGTAAAGTGGATGGTATTTAGTTCTACTCTTCGCCTTGAACGCGAAAAACTGTTTCGTTCCAAATCAGCAAATTTATCCACGAAAACCAAGATAATAGTAACCCTTCTGGTGAGCGAGTACTGCAGAAATAGCTAAAAATTGTTTGAATGCTCTATTTGAGGGGTTGATCACGATTTTCTCAATTTTACAAGCTTTGCAGTTTTGGTTAACGAAGAAATGGCTCACGACTGCAGTACAGTACAACATAATCAACGGGAAAGAATTCTGGGGCTTGTTAGTTAAAAAAAAAATGAAGCCCCTGAGGCGTTTTGAGCAATATCTAACAGATTCACGGTACATTTTTCATCATAAAAAATGTGTCCGAAAATCATCTCGAAATCAATGAAGAGTATTTATAGTGTCATACAACACTATGCACCCGGGACTGCGACATGCATTGATTTAGATAGAATCAGGAACAAAGCATATAATGCGAAAATAATAATCTAATAGAAATAGGGATGACAAAAATAATATCATAGAAAAAAAAATGGAACCCAGCAAAAATTACCCCGCAACTTAGTGCCTTATAGTTCGGATCGTATTAGCCTAATTTGTTCCTTCCTGTGCATAATTTTTCTAGGGCAGTAAAACGCTTCTCTCGGTGATTATTTCTATAAAATAGACAGGTGATCAATAAAAAAAAACACAATCACATTCTTATTGGATACTTCTGTGCAAAGGGGTTTCGCCTTGCTGGTCGTTTTTCTCGACTGCTGAAGCATGTACATAGTACACTTACAGGAATAAATGTGTACGGTAGTCATAAAATATTACTTTTCGTAATTTAAAAGGCTGATAGATGATGTTCGTTTCAACATTTCATTGTACACTGGTGCCTCCCCATAAACCTCATTTTTTCACCAAGAGATTGCTGTACGAAATACAAGTTTCCCAAATAAATTTAAAAGGGTTTAGATTACCTTTTTCTCAACTTGAAAATATTACTAGTTTAAACACTGAAAAATAGCATGAGCCACTGATAATTAACATTCAAAGATGATCTTGGGATATAAACTTGATATACATCAGATAGCTTTAATGATCCCCCAAACCAAAAGTCATCTTCCCAGTATGCTGAAAAATGTAAAACAAGCACTTAAAAGTGCATGATGGAAATTTCTCAAGAAAAATTGCGCAAAAGCAAGCGCAGCAGGACTGAAGAGGCTGAATGAATTTGTTCGGAGAATGTTTTTGGTACATGGTACGGAACAGCCGGTAGTTGTCTTCTCTCTTTTTTTCAGAGAAACGAACACGACCGTACAATAATAAGATAAACTTCTGAAAAAGTAATCTTCAACGTTCACTTAGTAAGCCATTGTCTCACGGATGAGAGACACTTTTTCCGAGTGCCCCCCTCCGCCGCGGAAGACAGGAGTACATTACAATCCCGAATTGCCTAGGAACAGCGCAGCAGAACGAAGCCAGGCAAGTGAACGGACGAAACGAGCGAACAAACATAAGAGAGCCTTCGCAACCGATTCCGAGAAAAACTACCGTACCTTTCTTAATGGAACGCCAACCACGAGAGGGAGTGACAACTCCTCTGTGCACCACCCTCTCATTCAGCTGGGGAAAACCGAGATTTGGGGAACTTTCTCTTCGCCAAAGCCAAGTCAACTGTAAGTGAAGCGAGCGGAGGAGATGAAGAAATCCGCTGTTACTACAGTGCTGATGCATGCACACACCCCCCTCTTTTTTTTGGTCGGAAAACGCCCCGAGTGTTGCTCAACTCCTCCCTCCCGTCGACACCCCGTGCAGCGCGGATGATTCAGAAATAACACGAAAGACCCCATTGTTTTCTCCTGGCACTATATACTGTACTGAGGACGCATTTTGGAGTCGACGCGCGGGGATCTTGAATTGGGTCAAATCGGCAATGTCGTCGCCTTCTCGGTGATTGTGCTGGCGTCGAGGTCACTCCTAATACCTAGAAAAAACATTTATTCACCGAGCGCAAGAAGGGGGATTGAGCGAGGGACACCTCGCAACGACAGCCCTGTTACTCCCTCTTTATTCATGCACTTTTACTGGGTCTCTCTCTCTCTCTCCCGAAAACCGGTTTGTCTGCTATAGTCGACTGTCGTGGGACAAGATTCTTATTTAGAATGTCTCCTTCCTAAATCGCAAGAAACAGCTTTTGTCCCTGATAGGCACGTGATTCCAGCGCCATGGTAATAATGGGTCTATTTTCGAGATTCCTTTTCCCCATTAGTATACAGTACGCGACTCATTCTGAAGATGGAGTCCCTTCTGAATGCTCCAGGCGAGGAAAGGTAAAAGGCTCGGAGGGACCCATCTCAAGGTAGGTGAGTTTTTCTGATGACGCATTTGATGGAGGTTATTGGAGAACACTACGAAAAGTATCACCTAAGATGGCCATCACTCGTATTTAAGCGCTTATAAAGGAGTCGGCTGTTGATTTTCGATTTTATTTTAGCCTGCGAAAATCCTATTGGTTTCTCTACGGAAGTTGCTCTTCAACCGTCAGCGTATTTTCCATGTCCGAGTCAGGTTAAAAAAAGGAGAAACATTTTAAACTACTACAACTAAATTGTTCCCGTCACGGATTATACGGCTCAAAAATATTTCACTGTGATTTCGGAACAAAATGACACCATGTAATAGGTACGCAGGCGCAGACTACGCAGAGAAGGGAAATATTTTAGCTTTCTGGAGAATTGCGTGAGTTATTTATACGGCTACACATTGGATAGAGGAGATTTGATTGAACCACGTGAGGATTGTGACAAGTGCGGAGAAATAAAATTGAATTTTTCACGAAATTTTTTCGGCGCCAAGTTTGGATAAAAATATGCTGTACCTGGAAATCGAGAAAAGACTTGACTATTCGAATTTGGGACAGCGTTATAGCCCGTAAACAGCCTGATACGTCTGGCAAAGAATGAGCAAATTTAGTACGAGTTTTACATTTCTTCCATATTCGCTATCAAGGCATAAAATCTTTACCTTTTTTCTCGCTGTTCTAATTGTACTTTATTTTTCA